TTTCCTGGGGCCAACCTGCACCTCGCGGGGAGAGGTGTGTGTACTTCACTTTTGAGTTAAACTTATTTCTAAGGGGCAATGCTCGTGCTCTTGGGCCAGCCCACACTGTGTACTAAATGTTAAGTGTGCATTTCTGGCTTTTGTGTTAAACTTGGTGCAGGTCCCGCTCAGTCTTTGGAGTTGGGCCGCACTTTCTGTGAAGCCTGTACTTCTTTATCTGTTACATTAAACCTGTTGCCACTTTCTACTGTGGCTCTGCTCTTGAATTCTTTCCTGTGGTGGAGTCAAGAACTGCTAGAGGATGGGGTGGGTTGAGGCTAACTGCTAGGTCTCCCCAGACCCTCTCCTCGCATATCAGTACCTACAAGCTTTCCCTTGCTCTCCCCTATATGGAGGCCGCAGGCACCTGAAGAGGACCTTGGACCAAGGCTTGAGAAAAAGAGCCCTAGGAATGAAGGTGCCATGCAAATATGTGAAGAGCATGACAGGCCTGGGAGCCGAGTCCTTGACTGCAACTCCCTTCAGAGCCTGTGACTCTCTGGGTATGGGGTCTGCCAGGTACAGTCTGAGTCACTGCACATGGTCAGGCCAGGAAAAACCACACATAGGTTTTTCACCAGGACCCAGGCTCCTCCCAACTTTCATCCACCCTTGGCTGAAGGCTGATTCTGGGGGGCATTAAGATTCTCCAGTGCTTCTAGCCTGCTCCATATGCAGGTAGCACAGGCACCTGTGGCCAGAGGAAGCCCCACAGCAGAGGAACAGGGCTGGCAGTAAAATCTAGCCAGCCTGCCTGAGAACTCAGGACTTAGGAGACCAAGCAGGACACAGGCACAAAATTCGTGACTTTCTTCAGTGATCATGGGGAAGATGTGACCTCCCGGGATAGGAAGCAGAAAGCATATGTCCTGGATGGTACTGGTGGCCACTTTGTGATCACACAGGGACCCAGCTTTGGGTTGAAGCTAATGTGTCAGTGAGGGGCCAGACAAAGACACAGAGCCAGTAGCACAGATAGTTGAAAGGAATTGACTTACATGACTTTGGAGACTGGCCGGAAAGTCTAGAATGTAAGGGCAGGCCATCAGGAAGGGCAAGCTGGAACTCAGGGGACAAGCCAAAGCTGCTCCATGGGCCGAATCATGATGTAGTTGTGGGAAAGGATCTTGGGGCAACTTCTCATCACAAATGGTTCAGGAAGTGGGGATGTTTGCTCTGGAAGAGCGCTGACTCTGTGTTGAGCAGCAGAGACGAGTGCAGGCAGACAGACTGAGAAATGAGAATGGACTTAAAATCACCCCAGGGCTGTTCTGGATAAGAAGGTACAGGATTCTTAGGCCCAGGATGGCAGCCCAGAGAGTCACCATATCTTGCTTCCACCTTGGGAAGAATGTGCATTGATCAGAGCTGCCCAGACACGGAGCTGCCAGGACAGCCTCGGGGGCAGTGAGCCCCGCATCCCAGGTGGCATGCAAGCAGGCTCTGGATCACAGGGAGGCTGTAAAGAAAGCGTGTGCATCAGGCTGGCTCATCTGGATAATCTCTAAGGTTCCCTCCCGCCTTAACTGCTGTTATTTTACTGAACCCCAGAGGTGACGTATTAGTTTCCTATCACTGCTGTAACAAATCACCACAAACTGAGTGGCTTAAAACAACATGAATTTATGATCTCTCAGTTCTGGAGATCCGAAGTCCAACATGGGTCTCTGGGCTAAAATCAGGGTATTGGCAGGGCTGCATTTCTTTCTGGAAGTTCTAGGGGAGACTCTTTCTTTGGATTTTCCACCTTCTAAAGGCCTCCTGAATTCCATGGCTTGTGGCCTCTTCCTCCATCTTCAAAGCCAGCAGCGTAGCACCTTGCAGTTTCTCTCTCTGTCTGTCTTACACACACATACACACACACACACACACACACACACACACCCCTACCTCCATGCCCACCCCCTTCCCCACTGCATTCCTCAACTCTCAGTTCTCACCTGAGATAGAGCAGCCACCAGGGACAGGGTTAGGGATTTCTGCCTAACACCAGGATTTCTGCCATGACACCCCTTCCCCAGTGTGTTCATTGCTCGCGTTCCTGTCCTCCATGAGGACAGCGATGCCGTTTCTATCATTCACTGTTTTATCCCTATCCCCATCTCAGCGCCTGGCACACAGTAGACGCTCAATGAATAGATCTGTGTCTGGCAATGAAGGAAAAATCCATTCAAAGAAACTGGATGATATCGAGCTGAGAAATATCCACGCACTCATTAGCTCTGCGCTGTTCAGCTGTCCCGGCATGACAAGGTACCATACCATGACAGGGTCCATGTCTCATCTAAGACACTAAAGGAAACCTGTCGGGGAAGACAAAAGACTCATTCTGTGGGAAAATTCCCGCCTGGAGTGTTAACATTCAGAGTGGCCTGCTGCTGGAGGAGCCACAGAAGGGGCTGGGGAAGGGGGCCACAGAGGCGAGTAAGTGGGAAAGGAGAGAGAACAGGACACACATGTGCAGGTCCCCACAGGCCACTCCTGAAACCTGCCTGTATCCAGCAAGGGACCCGATTCGGGCTGTACTACGTGGATTTCTTAGGCTTGTGGCTTACTCTCTGAGTAACAAAAGCAGCCACCAAATCCATTCAGTAAGGCCTTACTGATCATCTGCTCGAACTGGCTGGGTGCTGGGTGCTGAAAAGCCAGCTCTCTGTCCGGGAGGAGGACATGATAAGTGAGGGAGATGGATGTCAGAGGGTTAACTCAAGGTGTTGGGCTCGGGACGCAGGGGAAGCCCAGCGAGGACCAGTGGGAATTCCCAGGGCACAACTTGCATGCCTTGGTCTCGGCACAGGCTGTTCCTCCTCATTTCTGTCATCGATACGAGGCATCCTCTTCTCCAGGTAGCTTCCTGACATCCCCACTCCCTGCTCAGCGAGTACTCTGCCTTCTGATTCCCTGTCTGCCTCCCCACCAGCCTGTGACTCCTCTGGGCCCCAACATCCACCCTGTCTCAGTTGGTCCCTGAGATAGCAGATGGCTACGGACACTCACTCATTCATCCTACACACGTGTGCCATGAACACTCAGTGTGGACACTCAATGTGAGAGCTCCTTGCAGCTCTGAGCTCATCTGATTTGCCCAAGAAGCCCCTTCAACATCCCTACGTGGTGTCCTATGTGGAACAAGGTCAGATCTCCCAACGGCACATTTGCTCAACTTCAAACATGCAGACAAACCCTGTTTTCCAGCACAGCCACATCTCCTGGATATAAGCAGAGTGAAGACTTTTTTGGTGCATGGGCTTGTTTTTCTTCCCTGTCCTGAATTTGATGCCCATTGGATGAACACATCCAAAAGCCCTGGAGCATTTCACGGCAGACCCGGAGTCCCTGGCTGGGGCCGGCCAGTCTTCCAGGAAGGCCCACGCCGCAGGCACCACCATGGAGGGGGTGCAGAGATTCCTTCATCCAGAAGAAAAACACATCTGTGTGTGCTGTGTGCCGCGTCCAAGCACACACAGTCCTGCTCTGTCTGAGAGGCTGCCCAACACGCGGTCCCCAGGTCACCTTGCTAAAGGTGTTGAGAGACACCCTGCCCTCTACAAAACAGGAAGGCACAGCCTGTGATCCCTGCCCGGGCTTTTAACACCAGAAACCAGATAAATAGAACGTTAGGGCTGGAAGGAACCTCAGACATTGCCCGGGGTGATGCTGCCCTGTTTACAGACAGTGAGCTGATGCCAGGATTGGGAAGGGATTTCTTGTGGCAAACACAGTGGGGGACAGGCTGGAGCCGGGTTTTCATCCCTGTTCATCCTCCGTCCTGCCCCCTGTCCAGGACACCACGCTTCGGTTCACTCATCCCTGTGGTCCTGGTCTTTGCTTGTTTTGTTCTGGGAATGTGCGGCTTAGCCGGGCCCCTCCTCTGCCCTCCCTTGGAGCGGGAGGCTTTGGAGACAGGCAGGCCCAGCACAGGTCCCCCCTGCTCCTGTGCAGCTTCATATCCTCTGGAACCTCAGTTTCCTCACCTGGGAAATGGGAATACCCCATTCATGGCATTTGGGATGGCAGCTGGTGTGTAAGTGTGCTCAGGGTCAAGTGAGAATCTTCCTCTCTCTTTTGACAGCTGCTTCTCCTTGCTTGTTCCCTGTCTTGGGCAGCCCGAGGACCCAAACTCATCTCTGACCATGACAGTCCTGCTCCTACCCTGTCCCATACTGTGTGTAGGAGGTTGGAAGGAGGACAAGGCATGGAGTCTCATATGGACCCAGGTGCTTCCAGCTTGGAGACCTCAGGCAACTTGCTGGAACTCTCTGAGCCTCAGTTTTCCCACCTGGAAAATGGGACTGTTTTCTGTGGCACTAGTGTCTCACAGGGACACTGGCAGGGTTTAATAGAGATGGTGACATTAGCTCAGACGTCTTGGAAACTCACGATGCACCCACCATGAGCTTTGCTCAGTGTGTGCAATGTCCCAGGTTAACCACCAGGTTAGTAGCTACTGAGCTTTAACACCCAGGCTGCCTGACCCCAAGCCCGGCATCGTGGTTCCAGCCCAGGCTGCCTCGATTGGTCATGTCTTGTCCCTCTTCCTCCCTCAATTCTGCTCCAGGAGCTCAGCCAGTTTTACAAACTGTCCCCATTCTAACTGAGGGGCCCGACTGCCCACTCCCCTCCTCTGACCGAACCTCCCGTTCTTCCATCTCTCTCTTCCTCCTGCCCTCTGTCCCCTCATCTGCTGATCCTGCCATTTCAAGAAAAGTCCTGCAGAGAGAAACTTCTCACTGAAAGCGTGGGAGGGGCCAAGGCTGCTTCCCGTCCAGGTGTCAGCCCCACTCCCCGGGCAGCCCCTCCTCTCAACACAAGGGCTTTCAGGTCTGAAAGGACCGAGTGTCCTGACCCGGGTGGGCCTGCTGCCATCCTCTCTCCCACCCTGGCTAGACCAATCAGGCCTTGGCTGGGCCCCACAGGAAGTGGAGGCGGGGAGCTGGCGCCCCGGGCCACCCCTCAGCAGCTGCTTAAAGGGGTGGTCTTCGGGGCTGTGGGAAGGCAAGGCACTGGCACCATGACGCCCTGGTCGCTGCCCCTGCTGCTGCTGCTCCTGGCCGGGCCCCCCGCTGTGCGGCCAGCTCCCCCAACCTGCTACTCCAGGATGCTGACCCTGAGCCGGGAAATCACCGGCGACTTCCAGAGCCTGCAGGCCACGGAGCCCTCGGTGAGTGCCTGCCGCCTGCCCTCACACAGGAGGCTCAAGGCAGACCCAGTTCTCAAACTTGCCTTTGGACCAAAATCAAAGTTGCTATTTTTTTCTTGTAGTAAATGTTGATCTCATGGGTATTTCTGTTTCATTCACTTCTTATTAAATATGATAGCAATGGTTTGCTTTTTTACAAAATATTCTTTAAAAAGCAAAGACATCACAATTTTTGTTTGTAACTTACTGGTAAATATCACAGGATCTGTTGTAAAATGTAAAAAAAAAAAAAAAAATTAAGGTGGTAAAAAGCTCCCCGTAGAGTCTGGAACGTCAGAGTTAAGGAGGACCCAAGAATTAAGCTTATCTACTTCCTTTACTGGCATGGAGATTGGGGGTGCACGCTAAGGGGCCCTCCCCACTTACATGCCAGGGGTACTCAGCGTCTGTATCTCAGTTTCCTTTTCTGTAAAGCAGGATGACAGCAGCACCCTCTCCCCTTGTGTGGCTGTGAGGATTACAGGATGGATGCAGGCGCCGCAGGCAGAGCCCGCACAGGCAAGGTGCCCCACAGATGTCAGTGGCGGTTGCTGCTGTTAGTGACAGGAGCTTGGGGAGAAGGAGTCCCAGAGGAGACACGGGGGACTGGAACCCAGGCCCTTTACTGCTTCCCTAATGTGGAAACAAAATTCATTAAACTTCATTAAAAGTTATGGTAAAATTCAAAAGTGTGTCTTTACCACCTATAAATGCTTCAAACAAAACATGTTTCTCAGAGGTCAGGTTTACAGTACCCTAACACTCTCTTTGTAGTTTCTTTTTAAAAGTTAAATCACATATATATTTTTTCTAATTATAAAAGTAATATACTTTGTAGAATGGATGGAAAATGCAAAAAGGACAAAAAAGAAAATAAATATTGCTTGTAATTCTACCACCTAGAGGTTACTGCTGCTATGACATTCTGGCGGATATAGTTTTACTTTCTGTCTGTGCACAGGCATTCAAATACATGTGTGTGTGTGTGTGTGTGTGCGCGCGCGTGTGTGTATAAACAAAATTTGGATCAGACCGCATAAGCAATCTTGCAACTTACTTTTTAATGACACCATCAGATAAGGTAATATTCTTTTGTAACCACATTTTGTGGTATAGATGCACCAAAATTTATCCACAAACTCCTTATTATCAAATATATAGAGCAATCATCTTTTAAAGGAATCTGATTATAAAAGGTTAAAAAAAAGCAAAAAAAAAACCTCATAGGACCAGAACTGCAGAGCTGGAAAGAAGTAAAAAGAGTATGCATTCTAACTTTATAACTTCACCGCCAGGAAAGGGAGTCAAAGGAGGATACTTGTGCAAGCTCCCGCAGGAGTAATTTGTGAGGCAGGAATCTAGATCTTCTGGCCTTTAGTACTGCACAGAAGCAAAAAGAAAAGACAGTAATATGAAAGTATACACATCCATGCACTTTTATATTACTATATTACATATTACTATATCTATTTACAGTTGTAGAACTATTACATAACTAACATATTGTTAGATATAGTACATCTTATTCATATATATTTTATTTTTATATACTTATATATAATTATAATTATATATAACTATATATAGTTATAGTACTGTTATATAACCAATTATAGAACTGTTATATATAATATATACACTTTTATATTGCCATATTATATGACTATTTCTATATTATGATTATAGAACTACTTACATATATATGTGTGTATGTGTGTGTGTGTATATATATATATATATATAGTGTGTGTGTGTGTGTGTATAAAATGGTTCCCTAATTCATGGGAAATGATGTAAAGATTGTGCTCTAAAAGTGAAATTCTGGAAGAGCAGTTGCTCGTTTTTGGAGGAATGTGACATACAGTCAAGAAAGGCCCCAGGGCTCTGGGGCTGGCCTGGCTGCTGGCCGGGCTGGCAGGGAGCCCTCTGTGACCAGGCAGAGGGGTGTCCCTGAGGCATCCCAGCAGCCACCTCCTCTCCTGCAGGAGCCATGCGTGAGATACCTGCCACGGCTGTACCTGGACATACATGTAAGAGGGGCCGTGTGGGGCGGAGGTGGCTCAGGTCTGAAGCTCTGCTACTGACTGCATGGCATGGGGGTGGGGAGAGAGCCGGCGCACCCCCCTCCTGTCCCTCTGGCTACTGACTTTTCCCACAAGCCCCTCCCTGTTGCCCACCCCCAGAATTACTGCGTGCTGGCCAAGCTGCGGGACTTTGTGGCCTCACCCCACTGTCGGAAAGTGGCTGAGGTGGACACCTTGAAGGACAAGGTGCGGAAGCTGTACCTTATCATGAACTCGTTCTGCAGGAGGGTAAGTAGACGCTGGCGAACATGACTTTCCTCCTTGCTGTCAGCCAAGACCTTCCGAGCTTTCCAAAGAGTACTGGGAGGAGAGGGGCGTGGGGAAGAGGTGCAGAAATGTTTAGGAGGTGCTCCCAGCTCACAAAGTTGTGGCCTTCATGAGCTGCACACTGGTGGGGGACAACACTCTAGGACTGCATCTCAGTCACACAAGATGCACGCTGCCCCAGCCAAATGGGCCAGGTCAGGGGAGGCTTTCTGGAGGAGGGGGCTTCAGGAGTGCTCTGTGGTGGGAGGGTCTGGTGGGAGAGGGGAAAGGCACGGAACCTCAGCACCAGCTGAGATATGGACAGTACAACCAGGTCTCCTAGGGCAGGAGTTCAGCCTCAGAGAGGCCTGAGCTTGTGTCTGGCTTCCTGCCTCCCAGGTGGGAGCTCCCTTTCACACCTCTGAGACACGGTTTCCTCATGTGTGAACAGGGACATAACAGTGCCATCTCATGGGATCACAGGAAGAATGATTGTAATTATGCCCTTACCACGTGCCAGGCAGTGTAGTGACCCCCTTGATCCTAAGAAGCCTAGCAGAAAGACTGACTGCAGAATTGCCAGCACCATGCCTGGCCCAGAGTAAGCCCCTCTGGAAACTTTAATAATTAGCTCTTAAGTTATGATTTCTTTGTTCGTGTATGAAAGATTTGCTATGCATTTCCTCCCCAGCCCTGTACCCTCCTCCTCCCCCTGTCCCCTTGGTCTGTGGGGGAAGACAGGAAGATGATATAATTATAACCCATTCTGATAAGTGGTGTTATTGACTCTAAGGTGTGTTGCAGGTGAGAGCAGCTGCTGCTTGTCATAGTATTCCCCATGCCTAGCCCAGAATTGTTGCTCAGCAATCAAGGTTCATTCATTCATTCAACCTCACCCAGGCATCCATCTGGCCATCTGGTCAACCAATGTGAATTAAATAAGTGATAATAATAATAAAAATGTGAGATCCTGTGGGAACATCAAGAAAGAAGTGACTAGCTCTCCTTGGGAGAGGATGGGATGGGCAGTTTTCACACAAAGGGAAACAATTGAATGGTTTTTAAGGATAACCAAGAGGCCTATAGTTGCACGGGGGCTCTGTGGCCACATCAGTAACACTCCTGCCCATTGCTCACTTTTTTCAGGATTTGGTGTTCCTGTCGGATGACTGCAATGCCTTGGAATACCCAATCCCAGTGACTACGATCCTGCCGCCAGTTCGTCAGCACTAAGGCAGCCCAGACCAGAGAAAAAGCCCAAGAGGATCATTGGGTCAGTGGCCCAGACCGAGTGGGAGCAGGTGTCCTTTACCGTAGCATCTGAAACTGTAACGTGTCTCTCCACCTTCTGGAAACCAGGGCTGGTCCTCCCACCCAGGAACCTCCCTCGAGCATAGAGTTAGAAGCCTTGCTGCTCATGGCCCTTGGATATGTCTTGCCAGGATGGTTAGAAACACAAACATGCAGATTTGGTCACTAAGAGAAAAAGGCAAGCGAGCTTCTTCTCATTTAGGAACAAACAGCTAGCTTGAGAACAAGCAAAATAATGTGTTTATTATTGTTTTAATGGAGTAATGGTACTGTTTTTCTTTCTTGATAGGAACCTGCTTACATTTAACCAAGCTTCTATTTTATAACTCCCCCCACCATAAACTTTCCCCACTTAAAAAAAAAATTTACTGCTTTTAAGATATATTTGCAAGGTTCTTACATAGTACTGACAAGAACCACTTTTTCATTGAAAGGTGATGAAAATTTAATAAAGAGCATCTTCACAGTGAGAAGCACGTGTCCTGCTGAATTTGTCTAAGGTGGATGTCAGAGGGTTTAGTTCACACTTTTCCTGAAAGCACCGCTCTTAGCATCATGCAACTTTCTCCTTCTTTCTGCCAAGCTCAGGTGTCTCTGGGTCTGCTTCACTCCACTTGGATGAATGTCTGCTCTTAAAGCATTGGGAGATGCTCTGACTATTGTTGGGGACAGATTGCATCATACCCACAGGCAGTGCAGTGCTCTGCACTTACCACAAATATCAATTCATTGACCCCCCACATCCATCTGGAGACAGGCATCTTAGGAGCCTGAGGCTCGGGTAGGTTAAGTAACCTGCCCGAGGCCACTGGCTGGTAAGTGAGGAAGCCTGGAGGGAGCCCAAGCCTGTGTGACTGCAAAGCCCACGCTCCTACCCCCATGCTGGCTCTCTGCAGGTGCAATATGCTTCTTTAATTAATTTATGAACCCAACAATAAAATCCCAAGTAACTAGATTGTAGAAAAATATTTCTGATGTTGATTTTGCTAAATTCCACATATTACACTGGGGTCTTTTTGTTTCTTTTACTCCCTTCTGTACGTACAGTACTAGCTTTTCCCCCTTGACCTTAGATTTCTCTGACTTCTCAGATGATTCATGAGAATGATTTATTAGGTTTTTATTTTGTATATAGAAGCACAGGCCCACAGAATCACTGTATTAATTTCCAAGGTACCACAAACTAGGTGGCTTGAAAGAAATTTACCGTCTCACAATTCTGGAGGTTAGAAGTTTTGAAATCAAGGTGTCAGCAGAGCCATCCTCTGAAGGCTTTAGGACAGGGTGATTCTTCCCCATGGTTGCAGCAATCCTTGGTGTTCCTTGGCTTTTAGACCCTTCACTTTGATCTCTGCCCTTACCAATACATGGTGTTCTCTCTGAGTCTGTTTCTCTGTGTCCAAAATTCCCTCCTCTTAGGAGGAGGCCAATTATTGGATTAGAGTCCACTATAATCCAGTATAATCTTATCTTAATCTGATAACAGCTGCAAAGAACCTATTTCCAAATAAGATCACATTCACATATACAAGGGGTTAGGACTTCATATCTTTTTGGGAGACATGATTCAATGCACAACAATCACTTAAGGAATAACTCCTTCTCAAAGGAAAATTGTGCAACACACTGATTCTTCCTCCCACCCACCACCACCATGTACCGCTTGCTGGCAGCCACTAAGTATGGAGCAATGGTGCCTGGCACATGGCAGACACCAGCCCACTGATTCTTACAGTGACATTGCAGGACAGGTGGTATCAACACTGATTTACAGTGGAGGAAACACACTCAGCTTCAAAGGTGAAGTGGTTCCCCGGACAGCTAATACGTGCTGGCAAAGGTATTCCAGACAAAGAAAAACATGTCAGAGTCTTCATTTCAGGGCCCTACTAACCCTTTGCTGTTTCCAGGTAGCAAAAGCAAACTATTGAAGATGAGGACTAATTTAAGCATTTCAAACGTGTTTGTTTATTCATTTCATCAATGTTTACCCAATGCTTACTACGAACTCAGCAAATACCCAGATGAAAAGTAAAGCATTCCTCTTCTTAGGTTGCCAAAGGAGACATTTGCAAAGTCTAGGAGACAGCAGAGGAAGGAGCATATAATTCTGAGGTGGGGCAGAAAGGATTCTTGGAGGATTTGGAATTCGAATAAGGATTTGCAGTATGACTGAACTTGCTAGGCTGAGAGGGTGGCAGCAGAAGGTACGGCAATGCCAAAGGCACGGGGACTTCCAGTGCAGGTGAGTGGTTCCCACACAGGTGTGTGGTCAGAGGAGTCAAGAACTGGAGCTGAAAATGTAGTGGGGTCAGAACGTAAACGACCTTGATTATGGTAAAGGCTGCCAGGCAGAGTGTCCCTATCCCAGCTCCAGTTGTATGATTGTATGACCAGGGTAGGCAGAGAGGTTGGGACCCAGTGGGTGGAGGTTGTCAATTCCTGTAGGGGTGCCCTTGCTTTGGACTTCAAAATTAAAGTAAGGATGCTTCTCCCCTCTCTGTGTGCCAGCCCACTGCCTGCCAGATGTTTGAGCACCACCCTGGACTCCTCTTCATCTTTCTTTGTAGCCAACTGGTCAACCCTATCTTCTCTATGTCTCTTAACTTTTCCATTTACTCTTTGCTGCCTTGACATTAGGTCAGAACTTTCTCAGAATATAATGATGTCCAGTCTGTGCCCAGGATTCGATCCTGTCATGGGTTTTACCCCACCACTAGCTCTCTGTGTCCCAAGTGAGGGTCTGTCAATCACTGGTCCTTCTTCTCCCCTGAAGTTCCCCCATCAGGGATTTTTTTCATGAGCTTGTTAGTTGTTAGAGCCTATGTTCTATTTCTTCAAGTGACTTAACTCACCTAGTGAAACCAAGCAGAGCCACTGAAGCAGTGAGCCCAGAGGTGATGAGGAAAGGCTCTTGGGCCCAGCTCTGGCACTTATTAGCTGTGTGTTGGCGAGCATTTACTTAGCCTCTACGTGCCTCATTTTTCTCATCTGTAAAATGGGAATGATAATAATACAAATTTCATAGGTTTGTTTGGGGATAATATGAATTAATACATTTAAAGCACTTATGGGGTTTGGCCCATATGGAGAGTTCTAATTAGCTCTAATTAGCACCAAAAGCCAACACAGTCGTTGTTTAGAAGTCCAAACCCACTTTTGTTCACTGGAGTTCCTGCAGTATAAAAGTCTGTGCACTTATCCAAGATAAGATCACAATTTAAGATAAACCCTGCTCCTGGCATCCCACCTGGATGACAGCAACAGCCCTCTGAGCATGAGCCCTGATGTCTTTCTCCCTCCTCCAAGTCCATCCTTCCCCCACAGCCAGCGCAATCTTTCTAAAATGTAGATCTGCTTCCATTATTGCTCTGCCTTATGCCCACTAGTGGTTCACGTAAGACTGGCCTGATCTGGCCTTGGCTTTCTCTGGTCTCACCCGCTGCTATTCCAAACCCCTCCCTTGCAACACACATACACACCCACAACAATTGCTCCAAGCATTTCAACTTAGTGTTTACTAGTAGCACATCTTTCCAGAGCTCCATGTCTAAGCACGTGCTGGGCTGTCTTCCCATTACCCACACCCTTAGAAAGCTGTAGAATTCTTCCATTCTCTCAAGCATCACTTGCGCTCTGAAGCCTTTGCTGAAGAAACAGCTCTCTTTTCCGGGCTACCTCTCTCTCTTGTACTTTTCTGTTCTTGCATTTTCACCATCACTGTCATCAGACTTGCCCCAGCCGATCCCTTCCTCCTGGATACACTTTTCTCACTAGGCATCCAGGGTCCCACCTCGTGGATTCTCTCCCACCTCCTTGGTTGCCCCTTCTCGGTCTCTTTTGCTGGTTCCTCCTCTTCCCTGATCTCTCAGCTTGCTGTGATCCAGCATCAGCCTCTGATCTTGGTCTTTTCCTCTCCTCTGTCTGCACTCACCCCACCAGTTTCATGGCTTCAGAGACCGTCTTTATGCTTAAACCAAGAGGCATGGCGTCAAACTTGATGCTGCTCTTTCTTGTGTAACCTACATCCAATGCATCAGAAAATCCTGCTCTCCCTAATTTCAGAATATACCCGGAATCTGACCACTTCTCACCATTCCTATGACACCTGCATGTTCCCAGGCCACTCGGATTTGTTTCCCCAGATTACTGCTGTAGCTTCCTAAAGGGTCTCTCTGCCCTGATACAGCTTATTCTCAGCACACTGGCCAGAGTGATCCATTAAAATGGACGTCAGCTCATGTCCCTCCTCTGCTGAAAACCCTTCCTTTAGTGGCTCCCCTGCCTTTAGTGGCTCCCCCCATTTACTCAGAGTAAAAGCCAAAGTCCTTACATGGTCCCAAGATCCTCATTATCTGGTCCCCTTTTGCCTCTCTGACCTTACCTACCTGTGTGCTCTTGGGCAAATTACTTGATGTTTTTCAATTTCCTCTTACTTTTCCAACCAGAGAATAATAACCATTGCCTTCCCTGAAGGTTGTGGTATGGAGTCAAGAAAACAAGTCATGTAAATTGCTTTAGCACAGTCCTGGCATTTGGAAACTACTCAATCACGTTAGCTGTTTTTACTATTCTTACCCTCATCCTGATCATCAGCATCATCAGATCTTGCAGGGAGAGGGCATGGATTCCAACTGGAGAGCATTTCTCATTTCAGAGGCGGTGCCTTCAGATTCTCCGTGATTTCCTACTATTTATCACCTCCTAATCCACCGTCCTTGCATAACCCAAATGGCCATATCTGAGCAGGTAACACACCTGCTTACAATTCTTCAGTGGTCCCCCATCGCTCTCAGGAGAAAATCTGAATTTCCTCACCTGCCATTCATTCTTTGCATGCTCCAGTGTGTGCAGTGTGACATCAGACGCCACCACACCTATGAAACTGCTCTTCTAAAGGACACCAACGGGCTCTACGCTGTCCAATCAATGGTCACTTTCTGCCCTCATCTTAACCAACCTTGGAGTCTCTCTGGACTCCAGCGTGGGGACGCTGCCTTGATTTCATGCTGTCCTTTGGTGGTCTGTCTCCTTCTCCTTTGCGGACTCCTCCTGCCTCATTCCGCCCCTGGATGCTGGTGTGCCCAGCATTTCTCTCCTCTCTATACTCCCTTCCTGGTGGTTTTCACCTGATCCCACAGCTTTAATGCCATGTTGCAACACTCATATCCACGCCTCCTGCTCAGACCTCTCCATGAGGCCTAGAGTCATTGTCCACCTACTTTTTGCTGCGTGTACTCTTGAAGGTCTCATGAGTATCTCAAAATCCATTTGTCTAAAATCAGCTCTCGGTTCTTCTCACCCATGGGCCTTCTATGTCTTAGTGAAATGGCCCGCCATACACCATTTGCTTTTGCCAAAAGCACAGGCTAATGCCCCTTGATTTCTCTTTTTCTCTCCCTTTCCACCTTAACAATTAATCAGCAAGTTCTATACTTTTGGCCTCCACAGTATATATTGAATGTGATGGTTA